TTCTATCTAATAATTCTAATTCTAAATTCTATATTCTGTTCTATTCCATTCGATATTTTCTATTCTATCTAATAATTCTAATTCTAAATGCTAAATTCTAAATTCTATACTCTATATTCTGTTCTATTCCATTCCATTCCACATTTTCTATTCTATCTAATAATTCTAATTCTAAATTCTATATTCTGTTTCATTCCATTCCATTTCATATTTTCTATTCTATTCTATGTAATAATTCTAAATTCTATTCTATTCCATTCCATATTTTCTATTCTATTCTAATCATTCTAAATTCCAATTCTATATTCTGTATTTTATATTCTATAGAACTAGAACTCCCTATCTCCTAGTGATCGGCCCAAAGTCACCCGGTTGGCTTTCATGGCTAAGGCAGGACTACAACTCCCTGTCTCCTGATGATTGGCCCAAAGTCACCCAGTTGGCTTTCATGATTAAGGGCGGGACTAGAACTCTCGATCTCCTGGTTTCTAGGCCATTGAGAAGAACTGGTCTCCCACGCAGGGAATTGGAGAGAGATTTTATCCATCTCAAAGGGAAAACTTGCTAGATCTTCTTCCGTCAACCTCCAAAGTATCTCCAAAGTTCAACAGAAGCAAGTTCCACTCGGCAACAAGGAGCAAATTTTCACAATATCCCAAACAAGAAGTGCATTTGTGGATTAAAACCCATCGGGTTCCTCACGCCTCTTCTACTATAGGGTACACTTTTGCACAGAGCACCGCGCTAAATATCTGACACCTCTTCTGCTGAAATTCCCAGGCCATTTGGAACAATTTTACACTTCCTTCTTCCTGCCAGACAAAAATAAGTCTATCGCCCGTAGTGTGGCAAAAACTGTGTACGGCGGCACAATCGGGTTTGATAACGTCTAACATCAGCTTTTCTAACAGCTGGCGACCGACAACTGAGCGTAAAATTTAGCTCTTACCCGTTGGCGTGACCCGCTCTGTAACAAACAATTCAATGTATCCATCATTATAATGCCATTTTTAAAAGCTCTTTTTTTAAAAAAAGTAACGAGGAAGCCTTCTGTTGTGGCCTGTCAACCGTGGGCCCCTCCAGGAGCCGAATCAGAGGAGGAGGAGGAGTGGGAGTCAGGGGCAACATCAGGGCAACCTGAGAGCTCCGAGGGGGAAGAGGGAATGGAGCTGGCAGAGAGAGAGAGACAGAGGCGGAGCCTGGGCTGTCCGTCAGCCCTCAGATGGAGAGTCAACAGCCCCCAGGTCTGGAGGTGGCTGATGGGGAAGAGGAGAAACAGCTGGGTCCAGTGCCTGACACGCTGATGAGCAGAAGGCAGAGGAGAGGAGAGCAATGGAAATCTATGGGCTGGTCCTTGGGACAGAAGAGCCACCGCTGCTAGCAAAGCCCCACCCTAGTTCTGGGGATAAACAGCAGGGGGCGGAGATGAATAGATGTGGCAGAGGAGAGGAGAGCAATGGAAATCTATGGGCCGGTCCTTGGGA